TATTACTAGAGAAATCCACATTGAGGAAGGACCCAGACATAGTACTGTGAAATCCTACTGAAATTGCACCGTTTTTCTACTCACATCCTTGGCCTGGTCCTACGGTCTCCTCCAGGCCCTCAGGTTGCATTTAGATCTTAATTAGTCTTGGCCCCCGGGGGTCTGGTTTCTACAGTCTTTCCTTGTCTGTGTTGACCTTTGTATCTTTAGAAGACTGCTGCTGTCCAGTTTTGTTGTGAAATGTCGGTCAAGTTAGGTTTCTCCTGTGTTATCAGAACTTAACCGAGATTGTACATTTTCGGCAAGAGTATCACAGAAGTGGAGCTATTCCCTCACACTCCCCCCATGTGCACACAGGGATCGCAGCCCCGCCCCCCAGAACACTTGTAAATCACTGCAAACACTTGCTGCGCCGCTGTGACAATTCCTGCCAGACCATTATCTAACCGTGTCTTATTGGGTTCGCTGTGCTTGTGACACAGAACTCTCAGGGTGTGGTATTCTTAGAATGTCTGATGATACGATATCAGTCCTTTTCTAAGGAAGCCAGCAAATGTCTAAGGTAGCGTTTTTTTTCAGAAAAGGCTCTTGTTCGCCAGGCAAATGGTCCGCTTTTTTCATCTTATCGCTCGGGAAGCATGGGTAGGCAGATCTGCGGGAGTTCAAAGCTAGCCTGGCCTCTCCATCGGAGACCCTGCCTCAAAAAGTGGGAGGGGGAGAGGCACTAATCAAAGGACTGTAACAGTTCCTTGGGGTGGGAGGGGTGGCTGCAATGAGGGTAAAAGTTGTTGGAAGCTTGGTTTCTATTAAATACCTTCACATCGCAGGAAGCTGCATGTTTTAGACTAGAATGGGCAGGTTGGTTAATTTGCAGTATAAAGTCACAATGACCGAAGCGCTGGCACACCCCCACTCGTGTGTACACACACACACACACACACACACACACCCCGGCAGGACCGCTCGGCTTTATACACCAATACGTCGCAGAGCTGGGCCTCGAGGTAATGAGTCTCCCCCTTGCTCTTGCAGACGACAGGACGTACCACTTCCAGGCCGAGGACGAGCAGGAATGTCAGATGTGAGCACCGTGGGCGGGGCTGGGAGCAGGGGTGGCCGTGAGTGGGTGTGCTCTCCCAGCCGACACCTGAGCTGTGGCTGCTGTCTGTCCAGATGGATGTCTGTGCTGCAGAACAGCAAGGAAGAGGCTCTGAACAACGCGTTTAAGGGCGACGACGCCACGGGAGAGAACAACATCGTCCAAGAGCTGACCAAAGAGATCATCTCGGAGGTGCAGAGGATGACGGGCAATGACGTGTGCTGCGACTGTGGGGCACCAGGTGACCCGGGGGACCCCCCCCTCCAACCCCGGCTCTAGGGCATTCAGATTCCAGAGATGCCGAGAACCCGCCCGTTGATTTTTTTTTTTTTTCTAAACTGTCATTTTGAACGTGAAATCGGCGCAGCTCTGTCTGAGCTCATCCCGTTACACACATGCTTAATGAACTGTGTGCAAAGCACAGTGGGCCGCAGGGGTGGGAGGTGCTGGGCTGCTGGGCCCGGGGCAGGACCCTACAAAGGCCGCCTGCCTGGTGGAGATGAAAAGATTACGGTGCCTTTTGAGTAGTGGGGAGACTGAAGGGCACAGTGGGGGTGAGCGGAAGGTCGCCCGTCTTACTGGCTCTCAGAGGCTGTGAGGTACAGCGGGGTTTTTGCCGAGGATTTACTCCAGCTTGTCCGTCCTCCCTAGAGGACCGTCTGAAGTTCCTCTCAGGCACACTCTGGCTCTGTGACCCAGGGAGAGCGCCATGGACTGTCACACGGCTGTAAAATGAGTGATGGGTCCCTACCGTCCGTCACGTCCTGTGTTGGCATTTTGATATAATTTATCAGAGGTTCATGTGAAGGCACATAGTAGCTTTATGGATATTAACAACCAGATTTTTTTTAATTTTTGTTTATTTATATTTTATATATGAGTGCTCTGCATGTATCCCTTCATGCCAAAAGAGAGCATCAGGTCCTATTATAGATGCTTGTGAGCCACCATGTGGGTGCTGGGAATTGAACCTGGGTCCTCTGGAAGAGCAGCCAGTGTTCTTAACCGCTGAGCCATCTCTCCAGCCCGACAACCAGAATTTTAAGGCTTGATGAATCGACACTTTAATTAAGATAGGAGAGGGCTGGGGAGTTAGGATCGACACAGTCGCCTTTCTGAATGCTCGGTAAAAACCGAGAAAAGTGGCTTTCTGTTCACCTAGTTCGGGGACAGTTCCTATTAAAAGTACAGCCACAATAGAGTGGATAGTTAGAAGTACCATTAAGTAGGTTCTCGTTTTCCTGAGTTTCTGTTTGGCCTTGGATCTGTTAGAAACCTCTGTGTGGCAGGAGCAGAGGTATGGAGTAGAGTGTGCGTAGTCAGAAGCTTAGACCATCTTCATAAGGAAACGTCGCTGTAAAATGCTAAGAGTGCACAACTGGCCTGGAATGTGCTGTGTTATCTGAACGTGCACTGTCCCCAAAAGCAAGACGCACACACCTGCAATCGTGGGTGCTAGTAATAATCACTATTGTGGGTACAGTGTGCGTGTGCGTGCGTGCGTGTGTGTGTGTGTGTGTGTGTGTGTGTGTGTGTGTGTGTGGTTTTTACGTACAAGTAAAAACCTTAGATGTGGTAGGTAAGCACTGTTCCACTGAGCTAAAGTCCTTAGCCCACGGTATTATTTTTTTCAAGATTTATTCGTTTGTTTTACTTGGAGCTGTGTGTGTGAGTCTGGGTGAGTTTATGTGGACCACATGTGTGTAATGCCCATAGAGGCCAGAAGAGGGCATCAGATCCTGTGGAATTGGAGTTACAGGTGGTTGTAAGTAGTCACATGGGTGCTGGGAACAGAATTCAGGTCCTTTGTAAGAGCAGCAGGTGCTCTTACCACTGAGCCATCCCTCCAGCCCCTTGCCCTTGCCCCCCAGTTTTTAACAACTAGACAGTTTTTAAAGAAATTCAGGATAACCTCATGGGCAAGATCGTGAGGTCTGCCTGTGGAGAATTTCTAAGGGCAGCAAGCACTCGCCAGACATTGTGCTCCGATACGTCTTATTTTCAATGCTTTGCAAATTCAGCATTTGCCTGTCAAGTATTGGCTGGGTCCACACTGTGCGCTAAGCACATGGCAGGACACTTAAATGAGGAAGTGAACGTCCCCTGTGGGGAAGGTGTCGCTTGAACTCGGGGAGACATAGGACGGCTGTTTGCCCTGCACTTATATAGCAGCATGCTCTGAGTGTACAATGAGATAGCGTGCAAACGTACTCCGGTTTCTGACGCTCACAGTGCAGTGGACCATTACCACAGCCCAGATCCTGAGCACATCACAGGCATGAACGTGTGTTCTCCGTTACTGTTAGTGCCTAGAGATCTTATCCATCCCTGCAGCGCTGTGCTCCTCCTGCTCCCCTCTGTGGTATGGCCCGGGGGGAACTGGGGTGGGTGCCGCAGGACTAGCCCTGGGGTCGCTTAAGGGGATGGGAGGATGGAGTTGAAGGAGAAGAATAATATCTTGTCGTCATTCCTTTGGGTTTGGTGTGATTTTAGAGGACCGGGGTACCAGCTACATCAAGGATAACACTCCCATGAGTTCAAAGCTCCTGGTTCAGCAGCCTGACAGGGAGAGACTTCTGTCTCCTGTTTGTCTGGCAGCCAGCTCATGAGGACCCCTTCTCTTTGGCAGATCCGACGTGGCTCTCCACCAACCTGGGCATCCTGACTTGCATCGAGTGCTCTGGAATCCACCGGGAGCTGGGGGTTCATTACTCCAGGATGCAGTCCTTGACCTTAGACGTCTTGGGAACATCTGAGCTTCTGGTAATTTGATTTAGAAACTCATTGATAATGATTCACTCTCCGCTACCAAGGAGCGAGGGCACGTCTTGCTATGGGATGTTATTCCCAAATCAGAAAATGGAAAGGACCCCAAACAAGGCGCACTGAGGCTGGTGTAGGCGTCCTCTGGAATGCCTGAGGTGGCAGCCGAGGCCCTCTTTTACCCAAATCAGGCACAGAACCCAAAGCCAAAGGACACCAAAGGGTTGGCTGTCCCAACGTCATCAACTAGTTTCTGACAAGACTGAACCCACTTCTTCCTTCAAGTCCCCTTGGCCTTCCTGATCCATATTGTTCCTCTCAAGAACAATATGCTGGCTTCTCTTTTTGCCCCTCACTTTTCCAAAATAGTTTTTCATTCATGGCTCACTGGTAATATGGATGCTTTGTGATGGAGGGCTGGGGAGATGAAAGCGTGTTTTGAGAAGTACCTTTTGGTGTTTGATGCTGTGGCCTGACTGAGTCACGAGGCCATTGGCACACCTACATGGGCTTTGGGATGGCCTCAGAATCTGTGGTGTCTATTTGTAGAGCAGTGCTTGAAATTCTTTCTCGAGATGACTGGGCTTTGGATAGTAACGAGTAAGTGGATATTGATTGTCATTGATTTTGCTGTCAAGAGCAATAATCTTGACAGAACATCAATTCACATGGTCAGTAGTATTCCTCTCACGGGGCCGTAAATCTTCTTGACAACTCCAAATCCAGTATGTCTACATTCCTGATGCTTCTGGCTGTCTTGGGGAAACTGCCCTGTCTTTCCAAGGAATTCCTTGTTTGATCTTGGAAGACAAGAGTGAGGAAGAACTAGCTAGCGTGGGTCTCAGACAGCAACATCCCTGGTTACTGGCCTTACGAATGAAGCAGAACGAGCAAGGCCCAACAGTGTGCTCTTCAGTATGTGTATAGAGTCCCTGCTGCTCAAATGAGGGCACGTGGCCTACGTCGTAAAGGTGTGTGATGTACAGCATCTCTGGGAAAGCCGATTATGGCTTAGTTTTTAAATGGCCACACTAAGTTTTCAAGGATACTGTATCTCAGTAAACATTGATGGACTGTGGCAATTTCTACTTTCACTGGTTGGCTTACAGCATAGGATAAGTCAAATGATGTATAGTGAGATAGTTTTGGCTTATTTTGGAAGCACTTTATGTCTTAGCTCATCCAGTGGCTGTGATTCAACATCCTTGATGTAGGGTCCCCACTTTACCAAGGGGGAAGCCTTGCTTACAGTACTTAATGTCACTGGGTTCTACACCCATTAAGTTAACATGCTCAAAATGAGGCTCCCTTTAATCTTTCTTAGCTCCTATTCACATCTGAGATTCCCAGGATACAAACCAGCATTGATGGTGGGTTTTCTGGCCACGTGGGAAGCATGTGAGCATCACATCTGCCTGTCCCCAGAGCTCATCCCCAACAAATGTTTAGCAGCCAACTCTGAGGAGCAAAGATCGAGCCCTTGATCAAAGCCTGCCTCTTTTCCCCTGGTGTAAATCCTTCCATCGTCCGTCGCCAGTTTTGAGTTACTCTTATGAATTACTGACTGGAACTGACAATGGATGTTCAGAAACATAGTGTTCTAGCATACATTCATCACATAAATAATTGTACAAATACGAGGCATATATGCAGCTCAAGACAATGATAATAGTAAACTGTAGTAAAATTTAGAAATGAGGTTTATTTTGTTTTGTTTTTTTGGAACAGGGTCTCACTGTGTAGCCCAGGCTGTCCCTAAACTCAGATTCCTTCCTTCCTTCTTCAGATTCCTATGTGCTTAGAATTCAGGTGTGCACCAGCATGCTCAGTAAGATAATGAGTCTTGGATATCTAGTATCGTAGTTGTTGACATGAGTTATCATGCCTTTACATAGTATAATTCTTAGCAGTAGCAATATTTAACAGCTGCCTTTCAGTACTCCTAGACATCTAGTAATTAGCTTTCGAGAGCTGGGTTAGAGCCTCGCTCCGACATGGACTAGCTGTGTCTCAAAACGTGGGCCTGGAGAGATGATTCAGAAGACAATGTCAAAAACCCGTGAACTGGAGGTACAGGTGACTGAGATACCCGAGGTGGATGCTGGGAATAAAACATGGGTCCTCTAGAAGAGCAGTGGATACTGTTAACTGCCATGCCCCTTCTCTCCAGCATACATTTATTTATTTATTTATTTATTTATTTATTTATTTATTTATTTATTTATTTATTTATTTATTTATTTATTTATTTATTTTAAAGAAGCCTCCATAAAGTCAAACCAACGGTGTCCATGGTTCTCTTCTTTCTCATCCTTGATGCAGTTTTTGATAAAAGGCTTCCTGGTGTGAGGGGATGTGTTTATCACTCTCACATAGCTGCCGATGGCCGTTGCCGGACATTCGGCTTGTACCCAGTTGCTGTTTTGTGTCTTTGGTTTTTGCCTCTGAGCCGGGACTGTCTGTGTTCATTCCGTCGCGTTATTGAAGCTCGTGACGTATTTTGGATTCTGTCCTCATGTGAGGCCAGCGTCTCATTTCTCATTCATGCAGAACAATTCCCGTTTTCCATTTCTTGCTTTTGTTGGCCAGCCGAGACTTTTAAACTTGACCTGAAAGAGCCAGCCAGCCCGTGAGCGGGACCTGAGTGCATTTCCATTTTCTCTTTGGCGTCCTGGCTTTGAATAGAAGATGAACGCTCACCGTTCCTGTCCTCCGACATGACAGCTGCATCTTCCGTTTCAGACGAGCCCTTTGCTCGGTTCTGTGGATTTTTACCTGCTTTGCTGTTGTTTGAAAACACACTTTCCACGTTGATCCCCTGAATCGGGCGGCATCCGTGAAGGTGGCTGGGTGTGGACGGTATAACTACCTCCGCTTCCTGAACTGCTTTTAAAATCACTTCGCATTCACTGAAGCAGAATGCAGGCAGGTGAAGGGTTCCTTTGGTTCTTTGGGGGAAGTCATGCCACTCCAGCTGCTTTAGCATTTTGTATTAGGCTTAGATCAGTGGTTCTCAACCTGTGGGTCTCGACCTCTTCCACAGGGGTCACCTAAGACCATTGGAAAACACAGATGTTTACATGATGACTCATAATGGTAGCAAAATTACAGTTATGAAGTAGCAACGAAAATAATGTTATGGTTGGGGGTCACCACAACATGAGGAACTGTGCTAAAACGTCTCAGCCTCAGGAAGGTTGAGAACCACTTCAGTGAACCAGGCTTCAGACACCCCTGGCGAGCCTGGATTTTAAAGAGGTGGATTTTCTCCTTAACTTTGAAGAACATTTGAGGGGCAAGGGGTGTCATCTGAAAAACCGTATTACCTACTGAGGTACTGGTGTCGTGTGATCCATTTCACTCTCATGTTCGGAGTTAATAAAGAAAGCTTCAGTATTTTGAAATTTAATTTAGAGCAGGCATGGCAGCTCAGGCCTGTGAGCTCGGCTTTGGAGGCTGAAGCGGAAGATGGCTGCTACCTTGAGACTAGCCTGTGCTACACAGTGGGTCCAGGCCAGCCTGGGCTACCGAGTGAGACCCGGTCTGAACAGAATAAAGGAAATGAATTTGAAGGTCCTCCGTCTGCTGGAGGAATGTCAGGCAGCCTCGGGAGCTGGCTAGCTGACTCAGCTGTCTCTTGAGGTCGCTCTCTGCTGCGCCGTCTGACACCAGGGCAGGGCAGCCGCAGCCTCGGGCTCTGGGATGCTGTGTAGCACTGGCATTCTGAAGGCACTGAACTAAGCCTGGCTGGGTAGTGACTGCAGTTGCTTAGAGCTGTGGGAAATTA